ATATTAGAAACCTTTTCTATTTAAGAATGCAGGCTGATGATAGCATTTATTAAGCGACTACACACATTATCAGATTTATATTGATGAGAGCAAGGGCAACCTCAGACAAGGTTCTGCGAGAGGGTTAAAGAAGACACAATGAGATTTCATGGAGATCCTGAGAACCGAACTTTTCAAGAAGGAAGGGCTAGCTAAATGTGCTGGAGAGAGATTCAATACTGATAGGCTTCTAGAACAATTTAGGGTTTATTTAATTACTGAATAAGTGATCATCTTTGAGGGACAACATTTCCTTAGTTATCAACCAAAAACCAAAAATGAAACAATAGAATACCTACAACTGTGCTTGGGACTCTTCTCTATCCATTTCTATGTATCTGTTATTTAAAATATATGCCTAGTATATACATACATACATACACCTAATATATACATACATGTATATATATTTAATTTAATAACATGTTAGTGTATGTGCTTAACTTGGGATTCTGGCTGTGTTTGACTTCCGGCTTTGTTCTCCTGCTAATTGCCATATTGTTGCTGTTGTTACGTGGACTTGGTTCTGCCCCACAGTGACCCCGCGCACCACAGAACAAAACGATGCTTAGTCCTGTGCCAGCCCCGCAATGATTCGTCTATTTGAGCCCTTTGATGCAGCCACTGTGTCAACCCATCTTTTCACGGGCTTCCTCTTTTTCACTGCCCCTCTACTTTCCCAATGTGATGTCCTTCAGCAGTACTGATCTGGCCTGTTAACATGTCCAAAGACAGGAGAGCACTCTCCCCATCCTTGCCTCTAAGCAGCGTTCTGGCTGTACTTCTTTCAAGACAGACTTGTTCGTTGTTTTGGCATTCCATTGTATTTTCAGTATTCTTCGAGAACACAATAATTCAAATGCATTCATTCTTTTTCTGTCTTTCTTATTCAGAGTCCAACTCTCACATGCATATGAGGCAACTGCAAATTCCACGGCTAGAGTCAGGATCACTTTAGTTCCCAATGTAACATCTCTACTTTGCAGCGCTGTAAAAAGGTCCAGCTTATCTACCCAGTGCAGTGTCTTGCTTGATCTCTTGACCGCTGCTCCCATGAGCATTGACCGTGGATCCAAGGAAGAGAAAAGCCCTTGACAACTTCAATCTTTTTTCCACTTATTATGATGCTACCTATTGGTCCACTTGTGAGGATTTTGGTCCTTTTTACATTGGGTGGCTATCCTATTTTCTTTTATTTTCTGTCTTATGAAAGGATAGATCCTTATCAAATTTAAGGTGTTTTCCTCAACATTACTTGATTTGGGGTTAATAAAATTCTATTACAGAGTAAGAGACTCTGATAGTATGGTTAGGTTTAATATTGGAAGAGGACTGGAATTCTTAGTGATTACTTTAGAGGCTTCTGGAATGCTCACATTATCCAAGCGGGAGAGAATATAACAAGTCTAGAAAGAACAATAGGGAAATAGAGACACTGTGGAAGCCAATGAAGGTGAGTGTTTTAGACACACACACACACACACACACACACACGAAAGATACATCTTTTAAAAGATTTCAAATCAAAGTGCACTAGTATTTTTTCATATGAGTAGAAATTTTATTTTAAAAATCTGCATAACTGTATTAATTCATCATTTTGTGTTCAGTGGAGTAAATCATATTCTACTGTTTTAAAAGGAAAATAATTTTAGCAATTTTGTTTAGCTTGTGTTCTCACAGGAGGAAGTAATTATTAGCAAAGAGTCAAAGATTTTATATAGAAAAATGATTCTTTTCATCACACTTAGTATCAAATCTAACAGAACTGCAGGCATAATAATTCATCTTAATTTCCAAATAAAATAAAATAAACAAAGTATCTTCACTTTTATTGGTTTGGTGTGTGAAAATACTAAAGGCTCAAAAATAAATAACAATTAGTTGAAACTTGAAATTGTAACTAGATTTTCCTTGTACCTTATAATGCTATCTCTGTCTCCAGAGAACTAGATAAAAACCAAACAAACAAAACTTTAAAGAAGGTATGAAAGATGCAAGCAGTGAGAACTTTGCTGTGATGATGTTTGGAGGGTGAGAAAGATTCTCATTTTCAGTTGTTCCAACAGAAGTAAATTGAGAACAGAAATAAGTTAACAGAGCATTCACTGAGCACCTACTACTTACTAAACTCTGTTCTAGGCGCTGAAGTTGCAGCAGTGACTCCGGGCAGTTGAAACAATAAAGTCAGAAAGAAACACTGAAGGCAGCAACAAAAGTGGACATTATATGATTTTACATATGGAAGTGAGGGAGGGTGACACTGAAAAAGAGACAGTACAATTCCTCATTCTGATCGTGTGGTTTGGGCTAAGAAGCATTGCAGGTCAACTGAAGAGCAGATACGAAGCATTAGCAAGGCTGCTGTCTTCATAAACAGCAAGGAGGTCCCTGAGGGTCGGGTAAAGTGATGGAGAAGGTCATAGTATAATAGATGAGGTTAGGGGGGTGAAGGATATATGACTGGTATGGCCCATAGAATATTAATAAGTACCTCATTGGTCATTGGCTTTCACTGCAATTAAAGTGAGTCTTTGGGACCCTACAGGACTAATGGCACTGCCCCACAGGGCTTCCAGGATTATGAATCTTATGGAAGCAGATCGTCTTGAGCTGGATGAGCTCACTGAGGAAGTGAGTGGCAAAAGGAACAGGAAGAGGCCTAGCACTGAATTTCAGGTCTGCAAATGTTAAGAGTTTAGACAGAAGATTAGAACTAGCAAAAAAGGAAAAAAAGAGAGAAGTTGAACTACAGGAAGTAGTCTTTCATTATGAATAATTTCTTTCTGAGGGCATTGGCATTATATAGATTCGAGTTTGGATTTTTTGTAGGATTTATCTGGATATTTGCCCATTATTTGACTGAAATCTTAAACTCTTACTCTTGTTTACCTCACTATCCCTTTGATGCTGGCATTACATATTTTTTGAATATTCCTATGAGTAGTGCAACTTCATCTGAGTGTACAATGCATTTTTTTGAAAACTGTCAAAAGTAATTTTTGAATTCATCTGGTAAATAAAATGGGTGACCAAGTTAGTTAATATTGCTTTTGATCAAAGTTAGGTATGACCATATAGTAATATCACCAAGTTTACTGTGTGGCGTATATGCATAATCTAAAACCAATTTCAGTACATGTTTTCAAAAGTGTTCTGAGCAATGGCAACCTTCCTGGAATAAATATAAGTCTCCAAGAGAGCTGTTTTAGAAACAAACTGTTGTATATACATATGTAAGCTCTGTTAAACTGAATAAGAATGTTTAAAAATATTTTATAACATATTTTAATATATTAATATGTATAGGTGCTTAATATTAATATGTAATATAGGTGCTTAAAGTTCATGAACATGAATATCATCACAAATAATAACCACTTGAATCTCCAATTCCCAGCCTAAAGATTTCTTAAATGACTGCTATTTTCATTCAAATTCATTTTCTTATGAAAAATGAATGATAAGTATTTAAAGAATAAATGTGTCTACAAAAGAACATTTAACATTTTAAAATATTTGCTCATAGAGGATGTACAGTGGTACAGATAGGAACTGGAAACACAGGGAATCCAGGGCGGATGATCCCTTCAGGACCAGTGGGGAGAGTGACAATACCTGGAGGGTGGAGGGAAGGTGGGGTAGAAAGGGGGAGCCGATTACAAGGATCTACACATAACCTCTTCCCTGGGGGATGGACAACAGAAAAGTGGGTGAAGGGAGATGTTGGATAGTGTAAGATATGACAAAATAATAATAACTTATAAATTATCAAGGGTTCACGAGGGAGGGGTGAGTGGGGAGGCAGGGGGAAAATGAGAAGCTAATATTAAGGGCTCAAGTAGAAAGCAAATGTTTTGAGACTGATGATGGCAACAAATGTACAAATGTGCTTGACACAATGGATGCATGTATGGATTGTGATAAGAGTTGTACAAGCCCCCAATAAAATTATTTAAAAAGAAATTCTGACTGAGAGCAATATCACAGATTTATAAATAAATATCCTTGGATAGCTGGCTAATACTAAATTTGTAACTAATATATTGCCCAGAAATGATGCCAACTACTTGCTAACAGATAAAAAGTCCTTTTGAATTTTCATATATTCTGGATGCATATAAAGTGGAGACAAGGTTGCCCCTCTAGATTCTTCCAAATGAACCTTGAAAAATTTGTGTACATCCAGCACAGAGCCACAAGCAGCTGCTGACTTTCCCAAGCCCCGTGTGGCCTTCAGAAGGATTTCCTATGGACTGCAGCGCAGTGTGTACGGCGTTGGTGACTCACCCATGAGTCACTCAGTAGAACGATGACTGCGCGCTTCCCCAAAGATCTACAGCTTCAGAAACTCTTTGAGGGAAGTTCTATTCTAACTTGATGGATCGTACTGAGTCAGGATGGACTTGATAATAGTGAATTTGAGTTTTGGTTTTGTACTCAGAGTCAGATCATTATCACTTGCCCTGTAACATAGCAGGTGACTTAGGGACAATGTCCAATGCCTTCCTTACTTAATGACAATGTCTTTTACTTCTGACCTGACTCATGCTTGGGGATGAAAAGAGATGTGACCAACGAGAGGAGCTTTTGCCTCTCTTTAAAGTTTAACTACAGATGTTGCTCTAAGCTGTAGGGATACAGAGATGGGGGTTGTTCTTAAAATTTTGAAATACACTTGAGCAATCATGTCAGATTTGTTGTTTCCACTAGGGTTTTTTCTTTTTTTCTTTCCTAAATTTCATTTTCAATTTTAGGCCCTTTTCTGTGAAATATTTTATAGTCTTTACCCCAAGGATCACAATCATATTACAGAAAAAACATTCTAATTGGATCATTTTCTCATTTATATCTGTTCCCTAGACTTATTCTTCTCACTAATGTTGACACTAATTGCCTAAAGTGAGCAAACATTTTATAACTGTAATTCACATGCTTCTTATTAAACATCATGGACTTACAATGTTTTTCAGATGTTTCACTAGTATTGTCAGCTTTGTATCCTCATACGATATGACTAATTGCACCATAGGCTTCTCATCAGCAAACTTCCCAAAACCTGATAAAAAAATAGAATTTTAGTGAATTCAACTAGAAGGGACTTACCTGTGAAATACATCAAACATTTAAGGACTAACACAAGTAATATGCAAAAGTAATATGCAAAAAAACCACTCTTTAGATAATACTGGAATTATCATAATGTTCAAGAGGCTTGGTTGGTGAGATAAAGGTAGATCAAACATTTAAGGACTAACACAAGTAATATGCAAAAAACCCCACTCTTTAGATAATACTGGAATCATAATAATATTCAAGAGGCTCGGATGGTGAGATAAAAGTAGGGTTGTCTCTAAACTTCCAGAACCAATCCTTCCTCTTGCATGTCCTGTTTGATTTTTTTTTAAGTCATTTTATTGGGAGCTTGTACAGATCTTATAACATTCCATACATCAATTTTATCAAGCATATTTGTACATATGCTGCCATGAACCCTTGGTATCAGCTCATTTTTGTCTCCCCCCTCCCTTGTGGCTTTTTGATAAATATAAATTATTATTATTTTCATATCTTACTCCAACTGCTGTCTCCCTTAACTCATATCTCTGTTGTTCATCCCTTTCCGGGGAGGGGGTGGTGGAAAGTTATACATAGATCATTGTACTGGGTTCCCCCTTCCACCCTCCTGGTATCCCTACTCCCATTTCTGTTACTGATGGGTTTATCAGACCTGGTTTCCATGGGCCACGAGTGCTTATCTATTCCAGTGTACTCCAGTCTAGCCAGAACTGGAAGGCAGGACTGGAGTCTTGATGGTGGTGGGTGAGGAGGCCTCAAAGAACCAGAGGAAGATTGTGTGTTTCATCGATGCTATACTATGCCTGGTTGACTAATCCCTTCCTTGTGACCCTTCTGTGAGGGGATGTCCCATTGTCTACAGATGGATATTGGTTTCTGCTCTGATCCCCTCATTCTCAAGAATATGTTTGTTTGTTTGTTTGTTTGTGGTCTTCTGGTGCCTGTTACCTGATTCTGTGAACACCTCATAACCGCACAGGCTGGTGTGCTCTTCCACAAGGGCTTGTTGCTTCTTTGCTAGATGGCCACTTGTTTAACTTCAGGCCTTTAAGACCCCAGGCACTATATCTTTTGATAGCCGGGCACCATCAGCTTTCTTCACCACATTTGTTTATGCACCAATTTACTCTTCAGTGATTATGTCGGGAGGGTGAGCATCACAGAATGCCAGGTCATTAGAATAAAGTGTTCTTGTGTTGAGGGTGGGCTTCAGCAGAGCCCAAAGTCCGTCCACTTCTTCAATGTATTGCCATATAAATATATGTACTTAGCCCAATACATCTATTTTTATGAATTACTATATTTACATAAGTGCACACTTATGTTTATACCTCTATTCAAAGCTATGGTTCCTAGATATTTCTTCTGTTTCCTTTTACCTTCCTCCCTTACTCCCATCATGCTCACCCTTCTGCCTCTTAGTGATTCCTCTCAGCTAGATTGCTGTTGCTCCAACACCACTGTACATCCTACATCCTCCTCATTGTTGCTTTTAATTCCCCAGTTGTTGCCCTGTTTGGTTTTGATTGCTATAATTATTCTCCCACTTAGTTTTATTTTCTACTCAAATTTTCTTTTTAACATTCATTAAAATGCCTTCGATGAGGTGAATTGCTCAGTTGGCATTTCGAAACCATCAGCCCTACCTTGGGAGAAAGATGAGACTATTCCTGTAAAGATTACAGCCTTGGAAGCTCTATGTAGAGGTGCTATAAGACAAATTTTATTCCGTGGCAATGAGTATTGACTACCTGGTGGCTCACTGTTCAAACTGACTAGGTGCTCCACACGAGAAAGGATTTCTGCTCCCACAAAGATTTAGTTCTGGAAACTCAAAGGAGCAGTTCTCCTCTGTCCCAATGAATCGCCGTGAATCAGAATCTACTCAGTGGCAGTGAGTTTGTTGTTTTAGTTTACAGTCCACCTGTTCAGTGCTCTAAAAGCAACTCCAGCAACAGCTAGGACAAGACAGCCTACGTACAGTGGAACTCTGTTAGAGAAGGAAAACTCACATCGTTCTCACTACAATGAGCAATAGAAGAGTGAGGAGATCGCACCCAGAAGGTGAGAAACTTGTGAAATTTGAAAAACACAACAGGTCTATCAATTTCTGCTATTATAAGTTTGTATTTCTTTCTAGTTGTTGCTCCTATTATTCCCTCCATTTGGAATAATCTCATCCCCCATTTTTGCCTATGGAACTTTTAAGATTCTTTGAGGCCCAATTAAAATGCAAATTATATTCTGTAGTTACTTTCCTTTAATACCCTTTACATCTCTCATGTAATATTCACATTATTATTTTATATATCTCTTTTTACCCAGTAGATTAAAATTTCCCAAAGGGTTTAGTTTTATTCCCTATTTCCCCTCAGGATAGAAATGCTCCATAATAGTAACCACTCAACATTCATTTAACCAAAGCAGTCTCAGTGTTAGGGTTGAATAATATGCTTCATTATCAAAATGGAGACTTTAGTTTTTCAATTATAAATTTCTGGTTTGTAGCCTACGGATTAAGAACAATTTAATTTTTCTAAGATCTCCCTGGATAATATCCAGTTACACATTTCCTGTGGAAATTGAGATGGAAGAAAATTATTAATAATGGGGAATTTGGTGGCATTGTATAGTAGGCTCCTTTTGACCCATATTGCTTTCTCAGTCTCCATCTTGACTCTTTAATCCTCCCTAACATTGGAAAATGAAATCTGAGTAATGTGGTATTTCCTGAAAGCTGTTTACATGTTTATTAAAGCAGTATAAACATGCTAGTAGGTAATTTTGATTAATTGTATTTTGAATAATACACAATATTGACATTAAAGTGTCTATCATCACTGAATTAGAAATTCTACAAGCATAATAAGGCAGGGTGACTTTATTAACTTGACAACAATGGCTGAGAGACCTTGTGATTTAAAGATTTTTATTGCTGTTGTTAGTGCCATTGAGTTGATTATGATTCACAGAGACCCTAGGCATAATAGTGAAACACTGCTTTAAATTGGGGATACCATTAAGTAATTCTGAGCATATTTCTACATTTATAGTAAGGAAAAAGTGGTTGAAATATTGGTGTTAGTGGGCAAAAAATACTGGTGACTGTGATGCATAAGGAACACTATTTTTAATTAAAAAGTGGAGTGGAAAGATTATTAAATTGAAACTCAATGTGTTTGATCAAATGAGTTTCAACTTAAAGACAGTTAACTAACATACATGTATGACTGAGTGCCTAAATACTAGCTAAACAACTATGGAATTACTTGAATCAACTGAAGAATACATTAAACCACATGTGCAAGATCAGTAATCAGTGTATCAGTCAAACATGCCAGAGTTCAGGATCCAATAAAATTCAGGCCAGTATGAGTACTACAGTCCATGTAGCAGCAGTAGAGATATTAATATTTTGAGCAAAGAGCTTTATGTACATTAACTGATTCTCACAGCAAATTAATTCTCACATTTACACATGAGAAAACTGAGGTTCAGAGAAGCCAAAGAACTTCATCTTAAATTGTGCAGACAACAAATGGTGTAGGATTAAATGGTCCCCAAATTTATACTCTTAAACACCATGCTGACATGGGGTAAAAACAGGGCCCACACTGAAAATAATGATCTCAAATGGAATCCAGAGAGGGAGAATTTTGAGACTAGCTACTTATGGAAAAAAGGATGATAGAATATTTTGGCTATCAATTAAAGTCTGAAGGCTTTGGCCATGTTTATCCTACCATTTATTGTAACTCTAAGAACTTAAAAAATACAATTAAGGATGGTTGCGTTGGTATGGTTGAATGCAAGGAACCATAACAGCTAGAATACATTATTTTATTATGTACATTGTAACTGATATTTCAAATTTTGATTTTTTTAGTTGATAACATATTTAGATGATTCAAAAGTTAAAAAAAATTAATTATGGAATGAGTCTTTTTTCCATTTCTAGCACCATTTCCCCAACATTATTTTGTTGGCTTTGACATAATCCTCTAATTTGAAAAATATCCTTCCCAAACCTCTGCATGTAAGCTAATATGAATTTGCTTCCTTTTACATGTGTGTAAAAGGGATAGATCATTTATCATTCTGCACAATGATCTTGGAGATAGTTTCATATCAATAAATACAGAGTTTATTTTTAAAACTATAGTTTCATAATATTTCACTATATAGATGTACCATACTCTAAGCAATTCCTATGCTTGGTGACTAGTGACTACACATTGGTCTGCTAACTTCAAGGCCAGCAGTTCGAAACCGCAAGCTACTTGGGGAAGAGTCAAGAGTTACAGCCTGAGACTTACAGGGACCGTTCTATCCTGTCCTATAGGTTTGCTAGGAGTCTGAACCGACTCGATGGCTGTGAGTTTGGTTTTAGATTTGTGGTTCGGTGGATTGTTTCCAAGTTTTCATTGCTATTACAAGCTATGCTGCTCTTAATAGCCTCACACATGCTTCATTTTATACCTGTGCACAAATATCCTGGATTTCCAAAAGCTTATTTCTGGTCATAAGGAACAATAATTTGTAAGATTGGTAGATGATGCCAAAGTACCTTCCATAGGGATTTTGTCAATTTGCATTAACTCTCCATGCATGAGACTGCCTGCTGTTTCTTAACCAAGCTTGTTAATTAAAATTTTGGATTTTTGCCAATCTGATGAATAAAAATTGTATCCATGTAATTTTCACTTGCATTTCTCTTATAAGTGAGGTTAAGTGTCTTTTTGTTTAAGAGTCATTGCATTTTCTCTTCGTGCCTTATCTTTTCATTTCTTTATTCAACTGGGTTGTTGGTCTTTGGCTTACTGATTTGTAGAAAGAAAGTGGTTCTATATTAGTTTCTTTCTAATTAGTTCTTTGTAATGAACTGCAAATAATTTTTACTCGTTTTGTCATTTATTTTTGTATTGTACTTTTCTGATTTCACTATATTGTTGTAGGCAGTCTTTTTAATGGCTTCAGACT